TTCAGCTGCTAAAGCCGCACTGAATTGTTTCCCCCAGTCAAACTCTTGTGAAACTACAAGAGACAGAACACCCCTGGATGTTGCACCAGGAATCCATTTAAATGGTTAACTCTTTTTATTCACTCATTGGCTGGCCAGCCTTTATTACTCACCTCTAGCTGCCCATGAGAAGGTTGTGGTGAGTTGCCTTCACGAACCACTACAGTCCACATGGTAAGGATGGGGTCAACTATTATTTTCCCTCCTGTTGGTGCCCTCACCACCTGCTGCAGACCCAGTCTAGCAAAAATGTTCGTTAGAAACCCGACCAGCTCAAATCAGTAGTGCTGCCGCCAAGCTACTGTTGGTGGTAGACAATGAAATTCCCCCACACTGAGTACAAGTTGCACACTTGGCACGCTCAGTGCTTTCTCCAAGGGTTATTAAACAGGGAGGAGTACTGATTCATCAGCCAAGGGAGATAGTATATGATATTCAACAGGAGGTTTCCTTACCCATGTTTATCTTGATGCCAGGAGGCTTCATACTGTGTTGATTCAATGTTGAGGTCTTCCAGGGCAACACTCTCTTGACTATATACCATTGAGCCACCACCTCTGTGGGACAGGACATATCTAGGAATGTGACGGTGGTGTCTGGGACATTGTCTGTCAGGTATGGTTCTGTGAGTACGATTATGTAAGGCTAAGGCTTGACTAGTCGGTGAGACAGCTCTCCCAGTTTTGGATCTAGCCGCCAGATGTTAGTAAGGCGGGCTTTGCAGGCTCAACAGGGCTGTTTCTGCCATTGTCCTTTCTGATGCCGAGGTCGATGCCAGGCGGTCCATCCGGTTTCATTGCTTTGTTGAGACTTTGTAGCGATTGATACAACAGAGTGGCTTGCTAGACCATTTCAGAGGGAAGCGGAGAGTCAACTACCCTTCTGTGGGTCTGGGGTCACATGTTGAGCAGATTAGGTGAAGAGGGGAGATTTCCCTCCTTGAAGGTCATTAGGTGATCCAGATGGGTTTTTGTGACAATTGCCAACTGAAGACAAATTGGCTGCTTTTTGGCAAAGCTACAACTGACAGATAGAACTATAGTTTCCGTGCTATTTCACCAACGAAAACTCAACCTAACACGTCAATGACTATCCCAATTATTTTACTGCACTGCCAATTTTTTCATTTTTTAGAAGAAGCGAACTGTTCACTGCAAGTGCTCTTCAGGAACCTAATTTTGACATACCTTTTTGACAGAATTGGGTTGCAAATGTGTCTCTTTGGGGCCAATAGCTTTGGCACTACATTTGCCAGTTTAGTAGCAAAATTGACTCTGAACTGCTTCTGTTCACATCTAGTGCAGTACCCAACAGCATCTTGGTTAACAAAGATGAGCATGTACATGCGCTGAAAGGGTGCAGTAATCATGATGTCAGTGGCTAATGCTGATGTGATACTTGACAAGCTATTTTCGACCTGATGAAAAGGAGTGGTAAAGCATTCCTTTAACGTACACAGCTGAACAGCTGGTCAGCAGCATGAAGGCCCTTCCACCATTTAGAAGAAACATTAATGTTGAGGTTAGTCCCAGACTGCTTTCTACTGGCTCTGTTGCGAGTTTGGGGCAGTGTTGGGTGTTCGTAGAACTTCATGGAATTTAATAAGATTTGCAGGACACGGTGCTGCATGTGTGGAAGATGTTGCTGGTTACTGCAAGGGCTTTCAGCGCATCATTTTCTCCAAGTTGGTGGGGTTAAAGGATTGATCTCTTTTGGTTGCAACGTGAGAGGGGAATAGCACAAGAGACTGCAAAGAAGACAAGTTATTTGCAGAGTAAGACAGAAGGAGAACTCCAACCAGGAGGCTTTATCCACCCAGGGTCTTCCAGGAGCACTTCTCCCACCTCCACCTAATTCATGTCAGCAAATCTGCTGGAGCTTCATAAAGGGAGTACTCACAGAACTCTTCCACCTCTTGGAACCAGACCTGCAGTCTCAACACAGAGCAAGATGGCACTGGTCAATAACTGAAGTTGACAATGCCCCTCAATTGCTGAGACTGGTACATTTCACAGTTTGCCATCATTTGCCACAAGGAAGTAAATGGAGGCTCTAGTGTTGGGAGAGAAGATTTCATTTTGTCCTCTGCATGCACTTGGCTTTGCCAAAATAGCTGCATGACATCCCAACTCTTACATTCAATGCATTGACCAATGCAGGCAAGTATACCACACACCTTCACCACCCTGTTTACCTGCAACTCCACTTTCAAGGAACTATGCACCTGCACCCCAAGTTCTCTTTGTTTAGTAATATTCTCCAGGACCCCAACGTTAAGTGTATAAGTCCTGCCCTGATTTGTCTTACCAAAATGCAGCACCTCCCCTTCATCTAAATTAAACTCCATCTGCCACTCCTCTGGAATAGTCACAGCCTGAGGTTTTAATCATTGGAACCAAAGCCAAATTACACACTTGCATTCTGAATATGCCTCTTTTGCTTCCTCTTCTTTCTGCTCAAATGCTCACTGGTAAAATAAACTGAAACCATTAAGGTTATCATGCAATACGTATACTGGCAAACATACAAGCTATTTATCTCGCACCAGTAATCTGCTCTAATAAGCATTAAGCCAGCACATTAAAATCAGAGGGTGAACTGCCAAGTGAGAAAGATTATCTGCTGGCCAATTGGCTATTGACTCTCCTTCGCAACGCAACAACATATAGCACAGCTTTTGTAAAATGAAATGCTAGGAGTCTCAAGAAACATCACTGAGTAGATAATTTGGAGTGTTGAAGCATCAAACCTCAACTGCTTTGGAGGAGCCCTGCAGTACTCACTGGAGTGAGCATCTCATTTTGTGGTAACTTGTTAATTCTCCACATTCTGTCTGTCTGGTTGTGGTTGACCACTGGCCACTCGTATACAGGCTTCACCTTTACAATGACAGTATTGATTTTAGTAACCTTAATACAGATATGGACATATGCATCTGTAACGCTTTGATTCATGAAGACAAATTGAAGAAGGCTGTTTTTAATCTGACTTTGGCCAATTCCTGTAGTAACTTTCATCACTCTGGCTGCAGACAGGTGGCTGTGGAGAGGTGTCTGTAAGGCTCAGTCACTAAAGTCCATGAATTCATCACGTACGTTTAAACACTCTGAGCTCGAAACTCCAGGTTGAAGTCTTACCTGCCCTAGAGGTATGTTACAGCATATCCAGACAGGTACATTGTTGATAAAAACTGTGATGAGAAGGTAGTCCTAATGTATTGATAAACATATTTTTTTAAAAGCTGACATCCAGATATTGATATAAGGAAACTGGGGCATCAATGATTATGTGCCTGAACAAAGGTGGTAAGTAAAGAAGAAGTAAGTATTTAGCCTAACCTCAGCAGTTATTACACATTCTCAATTGCCTGCCTTCTCTGCAAGTTCCATCGCCAAACCCGAAGGGTCTATTTCTCCAGTGGGCTCAAATGATACAAGGCTATTGTTCGCCCTTTGCTTGTGAGCATCTGTGTCCTATTGGAGGAATTACCAGTAGGAGTGAGCCATTCAGCCCCTCAGGTCTCTTTCACCATTCCATATGATGGCTGATTAATGACCACAATGCATTTTCCGGTGAAATCCCCATTATCCTTGGTATGATTAGTCACTAGAAATCTATCAATCTCTGTATTGAACATGGTTCAGATTCCAAATTCCCCTAGGAGTAGGTAATTCCAAAAGATTCATTACCCTCCAAATGAAGATATTCCTCCTAATCTCAAAATGGCTCACTCCTTATTCTATGACTGTTTCCTAGTGGTAGGTCCTTGACCCTCACATCCCCACCATCAGACATGGGAATCATTCTTTCCACATCACGGTCTATCTTTTTAAGAATTTCTCGGATCTCTTCTCATTCTTGTTAACTTTCAACTTTGTCCTGTAAAGACAGTCATGCAATCTAAGGAATTAGTCTGGTGCACTTCCACTCTACTCTCGCCATCATAGCCTTATCCTTACTTATGCAAGGGGACCAAAAGTACACACAAGTTCCAGATACCAGTTCACCAAGGTTCTATGCAACTAAAGCAAATTATGTGTAGCCCACTTCTGCAGAAGCACAGCATACTGTGATAAATGACACTGCTAACAGCAAATCTAATCTCCCAACCTGGTATAGTGCTATCCATAGGTAGCAAGACAGAGTCTGTGCAGGAGTTGTTCAATGGAATAGATAGGTCTAGTTGCCTGAGAGCAGTGCTACACATGGTGTAAATTGTGACATGATGAGTAGCCAAAGCAAAAGCGGCAAGAATTAAGGAATTTATAGGTACCAAGAAGAAAGTTGTGAGCTATCACAGTATACTACATTGTCCCTCCTGATGTGACTTTATTTTAAACACTTAAGTCACATCCTCTGAAAATTCTAACTTTTTAATCTATTTCACTTTACAGAATCCCTTCTGAGCTGCACTTTCTACATCAAGATTTAACTAAACTATTAAAGCAGAAGGGTCATCTTTCTCCCCACAGCACAGCTTAATATCTCAGGCAATTTTATTCATAGCTAGCATTCCTTTAAATAGTCACAGGCCTTCATGAAATGGCTGACAGTTCTAGGAGTGTCAGACATCCTGTTCACTCTGAGGGCTGGGGTCGAAGGGAGCTCGATCAGTGTCAAGGACTCTCCATATGTATGTAAAGGGTGACTTGGAGACAGGATACCAGCCGTTCTGGAGTTATTTCAGAGATCACAGTTATTGGCAATTGTTTATAATTCCAAAACAGTGTATGAACCACTGTTCCACAGCTGGGATGCATATGTTAATTGAATTTATGATTCAGGAAAGTCCCCATTTTAGCTTCTTCAAAATTACAGTTTCCAACTATTATTTGTAAAAGACCAAAGTAATTTAATTACACATAATTTGCCGATTTCCATCTGTGAAATTATATACTACAAAGCTTCTTCAGTCCTGGTTGCTGGTAACAACATCAGGGCTTAATATACAAAATGCTTACCATGAATGTTTCCAAGTTCAATGTTGCCAGTAGAAGAGGATAGACTTGAAGATTCAGCATAAATATACTTTGTTTTCAGTGTGCCATCAGTGGTGGAAATATTCATGCTTGTTCCTTGCAATTTTTCAATTTCTACAATCTGAAAAAAACACGTGTTATTTCCTCTCATAATTGACAGCACGCTTTATTTGGGTCTTGATTCTATCATTACTATCCATGCATTTGTGCAGTGGCAGGATAGGGATAAAATGCATTTGTCTGAGGGCTGTTGCAGCACAATGACAGTGCCCCATCTCTAAGCCAGAAGGTCTGAATTCAAAGTCTCACCTGGTGTGTCACAACATCGCTGAACAGCTTGATTAGGAAATGTTAAATACACTTGCGCACCAGATTGCTTTCATGTTTGTTACATCTAGAGGACTAGACTATAAGAATGCAGAAATTACGCTGCAGCTAGACAAAAGCCCTGGTTAGACTCCACTTGGAGTACTATCAGCAGATCTGGTCACCATACCTGAGGAAACATATATGGGCCTCGGAGGGGGTACAATGTAGGCTCGCAAGACTGAGACCTAGACTTCAGATGTTACGTTATGAGGAGAGATTATACAAGTCGGGCCTCTTTGCTATAGGATTTAGAAGGTTAAGGGGTGATCTCTTTGAAATCTTCGAGATATTAACAGGAACACACAGAGTAAAGATAAACAATGTCCAGTGGTTGGGGATTGCAGAACTGGGGGCAAAGTCAGAATTAGGGCCAGATCACTCAGGAGACACATTAGGAAGCACCTCTATACATCAAGGGTGGGAGAGATTTGGAATTCTCTTCTATAAATGGCAGTTGATGCTATATCAGTTCAATTTAAATCTGAGATAACACTTTGTTAACAAACATATTTAAGGATATGGGCCAAAAGCAGGATATGGAGACAGGCCACACATCAGCCATAAGATTACTGAATGGCAACACAGGCTCAAGGGGCTGAGGCTTAAAGCAAACTCCTAATCACATACCAGGAGACGGGACAGAGAGAGACTGATAGAGAGAGGAGCAGAGGGCAGGGTGAGAGAGGGAGGGGTGGTGCAGCAGCGAGGGATTGAGGTTTGAGGGATGAGGGACAGACAGTAGGGCGAGTCTTGAGAGAGATGCGGGGGCAGAGAGAAAGAGAGGGAAGGAAGGGGAGAGGGGTTGGGGCAGATAGGGAGATAACAGAGAGAAGTAATAAAGAGAGAGAGAGAGGCAGTTAAGATGTTAAAAGATGTCCTGCCAGGTTTCTAAAATGGGCATAAATGATCTTCAAGCATTACTTTCAAGAACAGCAGAGCATTATTCCCACTGTCCTGATCAGTACGTTGCCCTCAAAACAATATCACATGCACGAATAAATCAGATTATCTGGTCCTCTTCCCACTGCTGTTTGCAGGAGTATGCTGCATACAAACTGGCTGCCACACTTCTCATGTTACAGCCATGACCACATTTCAAATACTATATCATCAGTAAAACACTTTTGGATGACCCAGAGTTACGAAAGGTGCTACACAGAAGCACGTTTTCTGTAACTGTCAACAGGTGAATAGAAAGAAGAGTTTGTTTAAAGAAAAGCAAGCTATTAAGATATTTATCAATTCTCTATTAAATTAGTTCTATGTTTCAGTTGAAGCTGGCATTGTGTTCCAACACTTTTTTGTTATTCTTGGACTAAATTTTTGGGAATATGAAGAGGATTCATGGTGCAAAATAAAACTGGTCATTAATGGGGAAAAAGCTACTGCAGTTGCATAGGTAATCATTAGCAGTGTGAAGAGCTCAGTAAATAAATCTCATCACTGAATGAAGAAAATAATAGTATTTCTACATTACGTTCCCAACATTTCAACTGGGAATATTAGCTGAACAATACTCCTTTCGAATATGCAGAGAGTTTTACCATTGGTCTTTAAATGTGCCACAGCTTTAACATCCTGCTTCAGGGTTTCCAGACTGGGAGGCAGGGCAGCAAAGACTCAAAGGGAGTACACCAGCATGGATCAGAACAGTTGATCCACTGGATTCAAAGCATTTGCAGAAATGGAAAGGAGACTTAACCCTCCTGTTCTCTCATTCTTACTTAGTGATGCTGATAGAGGACCAGTGGATGGAAGTGAGGTGATATTTCTCAAGGATGGGTGTGACAGGGCAGCCTCTTAAATCAAGCAGGAGTGCATGGAAGAGGCCAAAAGGTAATCAGCAGGAGTGTGATCCCTCCAACCTGGGTATAACTGCATCAAGTGGATCAAGGACCTCAGGAAGGCCGGCAAGGTGAGTGAGTGGCATAATACTTTCAAGTTCTAAGCCCCACATGATTCTGTTTTACACAATTCCTCAGAACACACATTGCATCTCCAGTTGCTCCTCTTGCCATGCACCTCCTCATATCCCCTCTGGACAACCACCACTTACATTCACCCTCACCATTTCTGTCATCTCAGTCACCTATGACTCGTGCTTTGATTGCCTCTTCTCTGCATCATTTCTGCCATTCACAATTCTGCTTTCTCTCTTAGCACAGAAAGTGTACTCAAATTTCAGGTAGAGGAGACATAGGGATGGAGTGGGAGGTGGACTTCCTCCTCAATGCTTATTGGAAGTACATGTCCATCAGGTCCACCGTAAAGGAAGTATTATTCCGAGAGGCTGCAGATGTCAGCGACAATCTCTCATGATAGTCGAAGCCTCCTGAGACATCAGTGTTCAACAGGTCCAGACAGTTAATCCTCAGCTTCTGGATACACAGCGGGGTCTTCACATCTTTAGAACTGGATCTCTATTCTATTCTATCTGCCTTGTGAAAAGGCATTTTGTTGAGGAGAAGGCTTTTTGTGTTACTTCCCTTGTTGCTCAGAGGTCCAGGCTACAGCTGCACAAGTTGCTTATTATACTGCAATGAAGGCTGGCAGCAAAGGAGTTAGTATGAATGAACGTATGCTTTAAAACACTTGAAAGTAACTCCAAAGAGCGTCAAAATTGACATTTCATGTAGTGATTTCAGTCTATCAGAAGTAACCTTAAGGACAAGGCTTCTGCTGTGGCCAAACACAAGTTTAACAAATTCAGTCTTAAAATAGGTCAGTTTCATAGAACTTGTTGCTGTGCTCTCAAGTCATGGACCCTCACAAAATACAGAAAGTTTTGTGAATCCATTTGCCGGCTGTTAAAACCTGATTGCAGTGTTAAAGTAAAACTTCATTATTTATTTGAATAACTTTCACAGCTGCTGCAAGGGGAAGCTCTGCATGCTGTCACACTTGGAAGTGGGCAGGATAATGTTGGGTTCTTGGCACGATGCCACTTTTTGATGATTTAACACCTGGTTTCTCTTCCTTTGTGCATTTGTATTCCCAAACCTACTGTTCCTTTACGCCATGTGCATTTTCACTTTCTAAGTGATGTTAGCATTATTTTATCCCTCTAAAATATAGTTATTTAGTCTACATAAAAATTCATTGGCAGAATGGACATACAATTGGCAAGTTTATTAATAAACTTCTTGGAATTTGTTATAGCTCCCTAAGTGTTGTCCATCTTTCTTACTTAGGTGATGTATGTAAGTTCAGAACTTTTGTTTGATTCCAAGTAAATATGTTAGTTATGTTAATTGCGAACAATGACATTCCCAGCACTAATTTTTGTGAACCCTACTTTCTACCGCTTTGAACAGCCACTCTTCACTCATACTCTCTGCTCTTTAGTCAGTCAACTATTCATTCTGCAGTTGCCCCAATTCTACATGCTCCGATTTCACCCATTATCCATCATACGATACCCTATATAAGGCCTTTTGAAGATAGAAATATATTACATATACTGCATTACCTCTGTTTCCTCTATGTTACCTCTTCAAAGAATTCTTTAAAAATTTTGAAGAACAAGATATTCCTTTGAAATCCATGATGACAGTTCATTACTATATTTTTGGTTGAGATGATTTTCTATTTTCTCCTTTAGTAGGGACTCAAATATTTTACCTACAGTTAGTTCTAAGCTGACTGGTTCATTTTGCTCTGGACACGATAGATCTCTCATCTTAAACAAAGGTATTATGGTCCAGATATTCAAATCAGAATAGGAGACCCTATTTTTGATTCTCATCAGATTAAAGTTACCATTAATGCTAAAATGATTTTTGTGCTGGAAATTCCTGGACAGGAGCCTCCTGTTACAAATCTCCTGTCTAAGAATTGACAAATCAAGCAATGAGGAAGATCTTCATAGAAACCACATGCTTTAATTTTGTCAGTGTGCCCTGTTCTGGGAATTAAATGCCCAGCAGCACAACCAGTCATTTTGACAGTCCCTGTGAAAGGTTAAGTGTGTAAGGTAAGTGATGGGGTAGGGTGCAAAGCAAGATTTGTGAATCAGATTTTAAAGGAAACGTGGGTTGTGTTGGTCAGATCAAGGGGTCAACTGTCAGAGTGGGCTTCCCAGGTCTGGCAAAATTGGAGTGTCTGGACGGGGAGCAAACTTTGTGATTTCCCAGTCGGGGGAACTAAAAGTCAGTTTAATAGCCATATCCAATAGCGAAAATGGTTTTTGATCCTCTAATATTTCCTACATCACTAATAAGCCTGAATCCTCCAGTTTCCAACTGTAAAAACGAGTGATTTCAAAGGGCTCCAAATGCAGGGAAGTTGTCCATCAGAGTTTTTAATTTCCTCAAAATTCCCAAAGAGTCTGTTGAATTGAGAATTCTGCATCATCCCAATGTGCAACTCCAGTCCACATTCCTGCAATGACCGTCTAGCCACCAGAATATCTGCACATTTACCATCTGTTTCTCAAATTTATTTAGGATGCAATTTGTCTAGATCGGGTTTGATCATAAGACATTAGAGCAGGAGCAGGTCTTTCAGCCCACTGAGACTGCTCCACTATCCAACAAGATCATGGTGGATCTGATATTCCTTTACTTGCATTTAACCTCAATTTCTTTACTCATTTTCTTTAGAGTCATAGTCATAGAGTCATACAGCATGGAAACAGACCCTTCAGTCCAACCAGTCCATGCTGACATAATCCCAAACGAAGTTAGTCCCACCTGCCCACTCCTGGCCCGTATCCCTCCGAACCTTTCCTATTCACGTATCTTTCCAAACACCCACCACTTCCTCAGGAAGTTCATTCCACATGCGAACCATCCTGTGTAAAGGATTTGCCCCTCATGTCTTTTTTAACATCTCTCTCCCCGCACCTTAAAAATTTGCCCCCTATTCTAGAGAAAAGACAACTACCATTAACTCTATCTAAACCCCTTTTATAAACTTCTATAAGGTCACCTCTCAACCTCCTATACTTCAGTGATAAACATCCCAGCCTATCCAGCTTTTCTTTATAACTCAAACCTTCCATACCCGGCAACATCCTGGTAAATCTCTTAAAAATGTCTATCTCAGCCCCGAATATACTTAAGCAATCACCTTCTACAGCCTTCTGTGGTTGAAAAAACAAAATTCCACAAATCCACTACCTTCCAACAGAAGTTCCTCGTTGCTTTCTTAAAAGGGTGATCCCTGAGTCTGAGATTATGCACTCTCCAGCAAGGTGAAAACAACCTTTCTGCATCTACATTGTCAAGTCCCTTAAGAATATTGTATGCTTCAATAAATTTGGCTGTAAATATTCTAAATTCCAATGATCACAGGCCACCCTATACTCAACCTCTCCTCATAAGACATTCTCTTCGGAACTAGGATCAGTTTAGTGAATGATTTGAACTTATCCAGAATTTGATTAATTCATTTTATATATAATTGCATAATTGATAGCCTGTTGATGCCATGTGCACTTGTTCTGCATCCAGGGTAAATACTGAAGGAAAATAATTGTAACATTCCTGCTATTTTGTCATCACTACCTCAGATTTTATTCTGAATTCCCATAAAAGCAACCTTCTAACCTGGATTTTCATATATACATGAAGGGATTGTTTACCTTATATAGTTCATGTGCATCACAACACCCTAATCATTAAATGCTGCTAAATAAAATGGTTTCCTTTAACTTACTCCTTTATTAGAGGTCTGTATGTCTACATTTCCATGGATTGTTCCTCGACAGATCACTTTTCCACCTTTGCTATGGACTTGGACCTTATGGGCCTGAATAGGATAAAAGACAAAACCAGAAATCATACATTCATCAATGAACAAAATCTTCAAAAATTATAATATTTCCATACAATGTAGCAAACTGGAATTTATTTTCAACAACCTTGCCCCCCACCCCAATCAGGTCTTCTACAGATTTATTATTTTAATCCTGATAACCTTAAGATTTATCAATGTGGGAAAAAAAGGAATTGAACATAATCTGAAAATAACCTGCTGGAGCTACTGTCACAATATAAAATGTCCAATGTCTTCTCAGTACAGCAATACGTTGGTTGAACTTTCCGGTCTGTACTCATGGCATTATTTTGATTTGTTGTTTTCGACAGTTCAGTTTGAAAAGATTGAGAGGATTTTAAAAAGATTTTAATTCAAAGAGGAAATGATTGAACAGGGAAATTAAGTGACAGGAAAAGAATTATGTACCTATTTCTGTACATGAACCATTAGAAGCCTGTGAATATGAGACCCAGCATTGACATTAAGGGCCAAATGGCCTCCTTTACTTTAAGTTTCCACGATCCCCGACGTGTTAAATTCAGTGAGATCTGATCAGTTAGCGGAATTTCCAAGTGACTACAAGTGCAAGGTTAATTGACTGTGGCATTGCATGAAAACATCTGAAAAAACTCAGTATGCCAAGATTCTGCTGAGGGACAATAGGCCTAATGTGAAAAAAAAATAGATTTCATATAAAGTTAGCACATAACTTGGCAATTTTCTAAGTATCATTAGGGAGAAGAAAACATGCAAGAGATGGAAAGAGATGTAAAAGACAGAATAAAGCTCAATGGGTCAGAACAAGTTAATAATTTTCTGGGAAGAGAAACAGTAACAAAAATAATATTCAAATTATTATGTATGAGAACGAGAATAAGGCAAACTTTGAAGGAATGACAAATCAATCAACCTCAGTACAGTAGTTAATGGCTAAATCTACAAACAGTGTAAAGAAGCATGGTATGATTTAGGAACAGAACATTTCCTTAAAAGGATAGGTTCCAATGAGTTGTTATAACACAAATGGTCAACAAATCTGGCCAGGGACAGATTCTAGCTTAGGCAAATAGAAGGATAAGTGGAAAACCAGCAAACTATGAGCTATATAAAGCCATGAAAGTATACAAAGGAAAAACAATTACAAAAACTAAATCATAAAAAATATTTAAAGGATATCAAAGCTAACAGCAAGTTTAATAAATGTATTACGCAAAAGTGTGGTGATAGGGAATACATATCTACCTAAAAAGGTAGTTGTAGACAGAGCAATAACAGGCAAGTTTACTAAAGGAGTATTTTGCATTATTTTCAAAGTTAAAAAGGACTCACTACACAGGAGTCAAAAATAAGCTGAGGAAGGGATGTTGGTGAATTTAACACAGGAAAAAAAAAGGTATTGGCGAAAATAATGGGAGTTATGATAGAAACCACAGTATTGAATAAAGAATTTTCCAAAATGTATCTAGATTCAGCTATTAGACCTTTGGTTTAAAGCATACCACTCCATTATATGAAATAGGAAGGAGATCGCATCAAGGTAATTGTGACCTAGTAGTTGTGAGGAAGTTATTGAAATTACTGAAAGAATGAAAAGTGCATGAAGATCATTTCTGTTAAGGAAGACCACACCAACTAATCTGTATGAAATATTTTAAAGCAGTCATGAGCATGATTGAGAAGGACCGTCTATGGATGCTATCCATACTGACCTGAGCGCTGCCAAATAGGAAGACATAGTACTGAAACTTTTGATCTTGCATGCTTCAGGACAAATGCAAAAATGCAAAATTTCAAACAAACCATCACAACTATTTATACTACACGAGAAAAGGAGGTCACTGTTTTAGGCACTGCCACGGATCAAACAACTGGGAACTATAGGTCCTCCTAGCTTCCAGATAATTCAAAGGTGCAAAACTTGGAACATATTCCTTCAGTTGGCACAGAATGTAATCCTGCAAATGATTCATCTGTAGCTTCTAGCATTTAAAAAAAGCTCATTACAGGATCAACTGATTATCTTAAATTGGTTGTTAACAAGCTATTAGCACACTTAGGGTTGTTCAACAAGTACTATCCAAACAGAGAAGCACTTGTTTTGTTTTACAAGCATGAGCTCTGCCTATTATAAATAATCAAAGGAACATGTGTTAGACTCAATCAGCCAATCACTGGGATTTATGGCCTGCTTGCTTGGCATCATGCCAGCAATGAAATTTATACATGATGTTGCTCAATTCTGTAGTACATGGAACATCTTTTTGGACTGATTGCAACATCCTGTTAATGGAAACTTTCACTTCTACAGCAAATGCATAGCAGCTGAGTGAAACAGCTTGCTTAGTCCATTGTTCATATTTTTTGAGATACTTTACATTTCCGAGGTAATTTGAAGTAAACCATCAGGTAGGAAAATGGTGATCTTCAGTTCATTTGCACGTTTTGACATAACACGACAAAGAATCATCTGATCAAGATAGCCAATGTCCCAACATACTACCTCTGCTGTGCACTATTTCTACATCAAGCTTGCAAGGTGAGCAAGGGCCCTATTTATAGGATAGCTGATAAGGCCAATCTTATTACAAAAAGTTATATGCAGTGCAACATGTATATTGACCAGTAAAGGTAGGCTTGCAATAAACAGTAATGAAGAACCAATTAGTAGGTTTCTCAATTATCATGTCAAGAAAAAAGTAGAGCATCAGACTATCTTCTCCTCAGTAGGACGACAAGGTTAATTCTATTATAACAAGTTTACGTAAGCAGCTTAAACTATAAAAGCAAAATACTTTGGATGCTGGAAATCTGAAATAAAAAGCAAGCAGCAGAACTGACAGCATAAATGGAAAGAGAAACAGTTATGTTTCAAGTTCAAAATGAAGTTCTGACAAAGAGTCATAGTGAATTTGAAATGTTAACTGTTTCTCTCCCCACAGATGCTGCCTAACCTGCCGAATCTTTCCAACGGTCTGTTTTTGTTTCAATTAGAATATTGGATGTAACCAAATATAATGAGATAAGAGTTGTAGGAAGTATCAGCATATAACTTCTAAAAATTCCAATGAGGTTGCTGGAAAGAAAAATATATAACTGCACCACCAAGAGTATACATTCAGTCAAACATTATTTTGCTTGTTAAAAATTAGCTAATCAATCTTCATGGTCTTTGTGTCAACTGTCAGCAGCACAATTGAGAGATGTATGTGTGGGCTTTATTAGTATAACAGAAGTGATATTTTTAAAAATATATACAAATGTTAAATGTAAAATGGTGGCAGAAAGTTACTAAAGTTTTGTTTCATTGACTTTCAGTTTCTATTTTCATTATTACATTGAAAAATTATATAGACATTTGATGGATTATCCAGACAATTACATTAAAAACCTGTTTTGTGAAATCAAAAGGATGGTTGTAACATTCTTAGGACAGAATAGATAATTTATGTTTCACTGAAACAGTATTACTAGTAGTCGATTAGGTTATTCTGCCTTAATATTAGAATAATAGACTTGGAGATAATAAAAAAAATCTGATTATTTGAAAGTATACTGACTCTTAGAAAATTTTCTGTGGCAAACAAAACAAACTAGAAACAAAATATCTGCAATTGGCATGGGTTAATTTCTAACATCAACATCAGATGTATTTACAGGATGGTAGTTGGTATTGAACATTTATTTTAAAATGGCAGTAAAGGCCTGAACAAAAATTTTCATGGCTTAGGATTCCTTTCCTGGGACCGAGTTTGAAATCTCAACCTAAACCAGCTTCTGATCTTACTAGTTTAAAAAAATGTTTCATTCACAGTTAGAACACCTTGGAGTGAAGGAACACTGATTCACAAAAAAGAGGATAAAACTATCAAATCACTCAGACTCACCACATTAACCTACAAACTAATAGAGTACATTTAAAGTTACACTACTAAATAGCATGGTTTCGCTCCTGTGCCCCATAATAGGGATAAGAATCCTGCTGAGAGACATTGGCCTTCCTTTGGTTTATTTATGTAATAATAAAAGGCAGATCTCAGAAGAATAAAAATGGAGGACATGAGAATCCTTTAGATGATTCCACTGCAATTGTATAAAAGCCAAGCAACACATTATATATTTTGTCCTTCCAAACCTTAACTATGGAAGATTACGGAGTAACATTTGTGGCTAATGAGGGCGGTTCCTGTGTAAATAAGTCACTGAAAGATTAAAAATAGCATTCAATTTTTCCTAGTATGCTTTGGTGACAACACATTAAGCAACTCTACTGACAACACTGTTTAACAATAAATGCAACCAGAACAATCACACCTGAATAATTACTGATACATTGAAAAATATTAAAAATGTATATTCTTGCATAAGATTGAAAATCCCACCTCCCACTAGCAATCTTAAAATGACACTAATGCTCAGGAAGCACACGGCCCAAAGTGTTTTCCCTCCCATCTAATCCAGACAGTTGTAGAACTAGCAAGGGGTTAGAAACACCAGCAGTGAAAGTATCGTGATTTGCAATGTAAACAAAATACAAAAAGCATGATTTTAGTTCCCCTAGGTACTTCATGCTATACGTCACAAGCTTGTTGGAAACATTCTACAGAAGTCCAAACAATCTTTGTTCACAGTAATCATCAAATTCAAACTGTATACCTGTTGTTATTTGTTTGTTAACTATTCCCCCTGGTGGTACATTTCTGTAATTGAGGTTCTGGTTTGCTTAATAATATTAAGACTCCTATATGAATGTTGTGCTATAAAAAATGTGTTTTGCATTATTTTAATGTTTTTTTTTAAATTTTTATTTTTTGAATTAATATCACATGCACCATGTGTACCTGAAAGGGTTTAATGATTAACCTGTGGATATTTCTGTGGCTATGGCGATTTCATTTTTCATAAAAAGTCAGATAGTTTGGGGAGGCTAATTGGAATGTATTTACGTTTGGAGATTTTAAAAACGACTGAACAAAGCAAACAGATGTGCATTT